GGGGGGGCACTTGGGTATTTTTTGGGTGGGTATGTGCCGCCCGGGACTCCAAATTGGCACCCCGTTCTAAAAAAAATTTCCCCTAAAATTGATACCCCGTTCTAGAATTCGCCCTAAAACTGATACCCCGTTCTAGAAATGGGCTAATTTTTTATACTCCGTTCTAAGGTGCAAAGAGTACAACAGTTTGCTTGTTAACGCATTGAACTGTATTTTTCAAAGCAATCTGTCCTTGAATAATTTCAAATGGCTGCTTACAAAACTGGAGCTTTCGTGCGTTCGAAATATTATACCCCGTTCTAGAAAACGCATCTGAAATGGATACCCCATTCTAAATCAGGAGCTTCAAAATCACGACCCCGTTGGGCGGCACATACCCGTATAGGTAATGTATGAGAGTACCCCCCCCCGGGGGATGTGTGGTATTTCACTTTGGTGAATCATGTGCACTTTGCAGTTCATGACAAATAAATCTCTGGTCATCACACAACTTCGTCAACATTTAAGGATCCATCACTTATGGTGCTTAATTCCCATGCTGAAGTGCAATGATATGCCACTAACGTACATCCTATGTCCATTGCCACAACTTTCCTTTGTGTTTTTTTTCCTACGACTCCATCAATAGCTTATGCACAGACAATATTTTTGTCAGTAATTATTGCTTTGCATTATTTTGTTTTCTTTGTTTATTTTTTAAATATTTATAAATTGATTCAAGTCACCAGCTCCGAGAAACCATTTCAAGTTACTACCATGCAAGCAAATAAGAGAAGATTACATGTGGCTGCAGGCTCAGATAACAAAGGTAATTTCACTTTTTATTAAATAATATGAAATTCTGTAAATGCTTATCCCCACCCCCCCCCCGCCTTTATTGGAATACTGTATGCCCCCAACCCACCCCTCATTAGAATACAGTGAATACACTGCATAAAGTACCAGGGCTGGAAAAAAGTCCCGTCTGGGGCAAGTAACTTTTTAAATTCACTTGCCCAATGGGCAAGGGTCTAAGCAAGTCATCTTCCAACAAAATCATTAACTAAGATGAGCAAGAAGTGGTCCTGGGCAAGCAAAATTTGACAAGCGGGATTTCAAGTTTTTTCTGAGCCCTGAGTATGTATATCTATCTTGAATACACCAGTAATGTAATGTACGCAATATTTTTTAGAGAATAACCCATTTGAAGACATCACAATGTCAGGTGTTAAAGATGCGGCACCTCTGACATTGGTGCTTGAGAATAAACTACTAGCAATCCTTTGGGATCACAATGTGAACTCTATAGTTCCCTTCTCATTTAGTTCATGCTCTCAACTCTCCCAAGCCTCAACTCAATAAGGCCTGCTAGCAAAATAATAACAGTTCTTCAAACGTAGCCATAAAATTCAGTATTAAAGTTGACGATTTCGTTGCGTGTCAGCCATCTTTTTCTAAATGAAAAAGTGCCCAAAATGTCTGAAGCCTGTATGTGTTAAATATGCGAATCACACAAAGCTGTCAAGGCTCCCCCTTTCCCTTTGTTGAGGGTGGACATGAGCCTATTTAAGTCTCCTAACACCTTTCAATTGGTGATTTTTAGTTTTGAAAAAGATGGATGATTGGCATTGAAACTGTCGGCTTTTATACTGAGCTTTTAGGCTATAATTTAATGAACTGTTAAGATTTATTTGATACAAATTCTAGCCGAATGGATTTCTTCAAGGACTGCTAGCAGTCTGCATTTAGGACAGCAACAGCACTTTTATAACAGGACAGTGAAATTTGGTTTCTACTGAAAGATATGTTCCAGTTTTCGATTCTGTTTCATGTTGGAGGTTTTGTTCATTTAAGAAGGGGAAGAAATTCTGAAGAACAAATTAGGATCATCCGTGCACTACCCTGCCAGCCACTCAAAATAATATTAATAACCACCCCTGTTGCTAATTCAAGTATTTACCCGCAATTTATTTCATATTGCACTAGTAGCAAAATTAGGCAGGTTAATTTAAATGCTTTTTCTTTTTTCTTGGACTAGCTATATTGACTCTATCTGCAGCCTGCTACTAGCACACGTCGTATTTAATATTTTTATCATTATCATTATCATCATCATCATTATTGTTATTATTATTTTTATTATTATTATTATTATTATTATTATTATTACGCAACGCCACAACGAGCTAAGAGACCTCGAAGCTGAATTTCTGAGTATGGTATGTAGCGATGTCGAGATCGAACCAGTACTTCAAGACATCTCCGGCGAACATTTAAACAGAGGATCTAACAAAGCTCAGGATGCGAGGTTAGATATCCACGCGCGTGGTTTCTGGGAGCGACATCGTTCAGCATTCTTCGATGTGAGGGTCTGTCACCCTAATGCTGTATCGTATAGGGACCTAGAGCCACAACAAATCTATCGTATCCATGAGAACGAGAAAAAGCGTCTCTACTCAGAGAGAGTCCTGGACATCGAGCATGGAACATTTACACCCTTGGTCTTCACCACAACTGGCGGAATGGGAAAGGAGTGCTTGAAGTATCATAGCCGTTTAGCACAGCTGATTGCCATCAAAAAAGGGGAGCAGTATGCCAAAACCATCTCATGGATCAGAACCAGAACCTCATTCGCACTCTTGAGATCTGCGTTGGTTTGTCTTCGAGGCTCTAGGACCAGGAGAGTGCCATGTGACATTAAGAATGTTGATATCGACGTCGAAGTTGCTGAAGGAGCCATTAAATCGGACTATTGATGTGTTTCCTTACTTCATATATATCTTTTTATTTCATTATTATTATTACTATTTTTTTTTTGTTTTTTAGCAGTTGAAAGAAACTTTTGAATTTTAGAGGTTGACAGTTTTTTTTTATTGAAATGAAGTGTTTTTTAATTCGAAAAAATTTTTCTTAGTTTTAATTAACTTTTTTTTAAGCTAAATTGAGTTCTTTTTAAATCGACAGAAATTGTAAATAGTGTTTTTGAATGAATAGTTTTTTCTTTTTTTTTAGGGAAGTAATTGTAAATAGGATTTTAAAAGTTTTTTAATAAAATTGTCTATTACTTTCCTTTAATTAAAAAAAAAAAAAATTATTATTATTATAATTATTATTATTATTATTATTATTATTATTATTATTATTATTATTATTATGAGGTAAGAGTACTAACCTTGTCTCCCACCAATGTGGTTTGGGTTCAATTCCTGCTGTTGTTGGTTTTGTCCCCAACTCTGCAAGGTTTTTCTTTGTGTACTCTGGTTTTCCCTTCTCCTTGATTTCAAAAGCTCATTAAAAATTCATGAGTGTCTTAATATCTGACAAAGACACAGCTATTAAACTTTACTACGTCTAATTTTTTAGACCAGAATAACCCCAAATCTAATTTATACTAGCGCACTAGTGCAAGAATGAGTTGATCTATGTCAAAGATTTTAAAGCCGTTCAAAAAACTTGCAGTTGTGTTTTGCCTCAAGTTTTAAACTTGATAATACACTCCTGCTCAACAGTACTAAACCAACACTTTTAAATTCTAATTTTACCAGGAACTCATTAACACTTTCAAACGAGTTCATCTGAGCTCCTAAGTGTGATTGGGTAAACAAATTAAATTATTATCTATTAGTAACTAATTAATTGCTTTGTTTATTTATTTTCATGCACTGATTAGGATCTTTGGAAGATACAACAAGCACATCAGAGGGTAGAGATAGCGATACACCCCAGCTTACTACTGATATCAAGTCTTCTTCAAGAAATGACACTAGGGACCCTCCTGAGCTTAATAAAGTTCTCCCATCTTTGGCTGACATTAAGGCAATAACCAAACCATCAAAAGATGCTGATCTTCCTGTTGATATTTTGTTACTTACAGTTACAAACTGTGAGTTCTTAGCTTGCTACAGTGAGCTAAAAAACCCCTATAGATGTTGGTTTGATAATCTTGGCTATGTTTACTTTTCTGATGTGGGTGAAAGTCAAGAAGAGCTGAAAGTTGCTTTATTAAGATGTTACAGAAATGGTATTGGTCCTGGCGGTGCTCTTGTGTCTGTAAAGAATGCTGCTTCTGTGCTTAGACCCAAAGCAGTTATTTCTGTAGGCACATGTAGTGGCCTCAACCCTGCAAAATCCAAGTTAGGAGATGTTGTTGTATCTGCCAAATTAGCAATGTATGCATCAAAGGTAGTGACCAACAATCAAGAGCAGTCAACTGGCATGAGGAGTTATGTGAGCAAACGCTTTCTGGATGTCATTAAGAATTGTGCTGATGGCTGGCATGCACCTTTGAAAGACTTGGCTGAAGCACAGCAAGTTCAAGTTTATACTGATGCAGAGTTTCTGAGTGGACCAGAACAAGTCAGAGCTGAGTGGCGGCGTGATCAACTTGCCGAAACCAGTCCTCAGGCAATGGCAATAGAAAATGAAGGAGAAGGTGAGTTCACTTTGTATTCAGCCAGCGTTAGCAAGTTACAGAAAAAACCCGCAACTAAGAACCTGCTTTTTCCCAAGTTAGCCTAAATAGGTTCTTACATAAATGGTAATTATAGGGACAAATTTCGGCTATTTAGGTTCTTAAATAGGTTCTTATTTTCTGAAGGAAAAACGAATTGTAGCTAAGAGTATTTATTTTAGGGGTGTTCAGCTTATTCTTTGCAGAAAATCTGCATACGAATACATCCCAGTAGACACATGTCTCCAAAGGGGATCCTGAATGTTGACTTATCCTGTTTGTCCAAGTGTACAAAAAATTTTTAAAAAAATTTTGAAAATTAGAACCTGTTTTAAATTTTAGGCTGAACAGGTTCTTGTATAGAGAAGGCCTAAGTGGCAAATTTTAGCCCAACAGGTTCTTAAAAACCAGGTTCTTAGTCAAGGGTTTTTACTGTACATGTATGTAGTCAGGTCTCTTTTAAAGCTCTGTAGATGTGTATGTTGCTGTTTACTTCGGTGGAGCGCAAAGTAAAGGATTCACAACACTCAAGAATGTATCAAAGTTGACTTTTTTTGACAAGATTGGGCACGCAAAGTCTGTAGGTTTTCAGTTTTATTCAGCTGTTTGACGAAGTGAGTGCCAAATTAGTTCAAGATCTCTCGAGATCACTTTGATTTCTTTGATTTATTCTTTAACATTTTTGAGGAAGAAAGAATTATTATTTCGGCTTTCCCGGAGTTTGAACTGACTCACCTGTGTGTCCCGTCAGATCAGAGGAGACTCTAAGTTGAGGGGTTAGCCAATTGCGCTACTGCGACCCAAGGTAGTTCAGGATATGAAAAATAGTTATGAAATGATGCACTAGTTTCGGGACAAGATTGGGCATGCAAGTTCGTGACTTTTCGGCTTGTTTCGGCTATTTCATGTACTACTTCATGATATCTTGAGATCACTTCGAGTTTAGTCTTTAATTTACTCTAGGAATAAATAGAAGATATTACGTGGTCACGCAGAGACATGAAATTTCTCTTCAAGTGTTGAAAAACATTTCATGAGTGAGCCCTCTTTTTGAACTGTTCTGTGATGAATTTAAAGTTACAAAATGCTGCACAAAGACATTTTGTCTTTGTTGAGTGTTACGTAGTAAAATTGTTTTCATGCGTTGCGTGACTTTCTCGAACGTTCTCTACGTTTTTGGATTATTCATGAATAATTAATTAGCACATGTTTACATTTCAGCATGAGTCAGCAGATTTGCATCAGTTACTGAAATCATAAAATATGTCAAAAAGCTACTACTATTCGCCTGTTTAGTATTTTCTAAAACCTTATGTCAAACGGTATACAAGTTCCAAGCGAGTTCTTTTGACGAACTAAGTTTTTTCCCACGAGCTGGACTGCTGTGTTTAGTCAAGTGTGATGAAGGTCGATTTTCAAGTTCTGTGTTTACAAGTTGGTGGAAGCCATAAGATATCTGAAGTTCAAGTGAGAGTTTGTTATTATTGGCAGAGCCTGTTTAGTTTAAATTAAGTTCAAGTCAAGTTTGTCTTGGCAAATGCTGTGTTTTAAAGCTCTGTAAAGGCTCTTTTCCTTTGGTACTAAACTTCCTTGTGTTAATCTGACATCCCTGCTTGCTGATAGTCAGTGAATAATTATCCTCAAAACATTTGAACATGTAACACTGAGTTTTAGCCAATTCCATGCTCAACGTAATTGACTCCTTACCCATGCCTTACATAATTATCTTTAATTAGTACATGAGACTGCTGTGCTGTTTTTGAAGCCTGATGTGACTAAGAAAAATAGAGAATTCTTTTTTCACTGTTTGTTTGGTTAGACTTGTTATTCACCGCCAGCAACCTAATATTTGACTGAGGTCTAAACGTTTAGAACCAAGTCAAACACGGGCTGTGATTTGAGGTGATGCAATTTTTCTACTCTCTTTAGTCTGTTCAGCTGATTTCATGGATACACTTTGTAGTGGGTCGTTCTCCCACCTCGTTAAACAGGTAAATTTTGTAGTTTTGTTTTTATGAACAAGATCTCCACCCCGTTGGTCTGTGTTACAGCAAGGAACCAAAAAGTGTGATCGCTTTTAATGTATTCACATTCACGGTTTCATGCAGATTTAATCCAATCAGAAGCCAGCTGGAAACTGTCCTTGACTTCTGATTGGTTAATGTCTGCATGAAAGAATGTGTATTAATTAAATGAGGTCACACTTTTGGGCTCCTTGCTGTAATGGGAAGCACTCTAGGATTGACCGAGCCGAGAACGCCTGGGGACTAGGCTGGCACATGCCCAGTGGCTGATTAATTACTGCCATGCGCTTTGAGTAAATTCGAAGTAATGCTTCAAGTAATGCGGAAGTGGCGAAATTTCTTGAAATTTCGACTCCCAAAGAGTTGTAATAATCCTGGCAATCATGGGTTGAATTTATTTTCTTATCTAGTGTTTCATTATGTAACCTGTAGGGGAAGAAATTAAGATTGGCTGCGCTCTGCTGAAACGTTGTCCTTTTCAATTTTTTGGCATTCGATCTTTCCGATTCATCTAAAGCAGCCTCGGGGCGCAAGTACTTGTGCAGGTGAGCGAACTTATACCTACTCTTGCAGTGATCGGCGCATTCCAAATGCCTCCATGCATAATGTTTTCCTTACATGTAGCTACAGTGTATAGCGTTCTTTTGTTTTGTTTTTCCCTAGAGACAAAGATAAATTCAGGAGAAACAACAGATGTGTGAAATCCTGCTACATGTATCAAGAAACCTTTACCAAGTACATGATCTGAAGAAAACAACAATATACAATTCAGTTTTACAGGTATGTGTTTTATGACACTTTCAATTTTCTGTCAGATTTATTTATTTATATGTTATAATTCAGAAAGGTCTCCCATCACTGTGGATGTGTCCCGGGGGGGGGGGGGGCACTTGGGT